AGGCCAGACAAGCCGCATCACCTACACTTGGGATTTTCTGTTGAGCCTCAGAGCTCCTTCTGCACATATCCAGACTAAAGATACATTGCTGTTACCAACCGAGTGTATCAGAAGTAGCAACAAGTTTAAACTAAGGAAACGCGGAAGGAAGGGAGGGGTTCGGGAGCGGAACAAGAGGCAACCCTACAGGCAACCACTTCCATCGGTTAAGCTGGGTAATGTCCAGAGTCTAAGGAACAAGGTGGGTGAGCTGCGAGCCCGCACTTAATATCTTTCAGACTACCGGTGATCCTGCCATATCTGCTTGACAGAGAGCTGGCTTTCAGAGATGGACCCGGACTCGTCAATTGACTTAGAGGGCTTCACGTCGGTGAGGATGGATCGTAATCTAAACTCTGGGAAAAAGAGAGGTGGAGGTGTGTGTGTGTTTGTTAATAATAAGTATTGTCATCCTACCCACATCACCATGAAGCATCGAATTTGCACAAAGGACAAAGGTTCCCAGCTTATGGAAAAAATCATTAATAGTGCCAGTGCCAAAAAACAATAGACCTAAAGAACTTAATGATCTGCGTCCAATAGCACGTACATCTGTAGTAATGAAATGTTTTGAGAAAATTGCATTAAAACAGGTTCTTTCTGAGGTTTCCCACTCTTTAGACCCTAACCAATTTGCCTACCGTGCTAAGAGGGGGGTTGAAGACGCGCTTCTTACCTTGATAAATTATGTCTATGAGCACCTTGAACATGCAAGGAGCCTGGTTAAGGTTGTGTTTATTGATTTTAGCAGCGCTTTTAATACAATCCAACCACATCTGATGGTGAGGAAATTGTTCAATCTTGGGGTAAATCCTAGACTAATATTGTGGATTTATGACTTCTTGACTGACCGTTGTCAGCAAGTGAAATTTAACTCACATGTCTCCTCCCTAAAAACCATTAATATTGGAGCACCCCAACGATGTGAGCTATCGCCCATCCTTTATACATTATATACAAATGATTTCCAAGCAGCCTCTCCTGCTCATATTTATCTCAAGTATGCTGACGACACTGCATTGGTTGTTTTTTTACATTCTGACACCTCATCTCTAGAAGGCTTTGAAAGGGAGGTTCATGGTTTCACTAAGTGGCGCACAGATAATTTTTTACAGATTAATGTAAAGAAAACAAAAGAAATGTTAATAGATTTTAGTAAGAAAGGCGTAAGGGTTTCTTGGTCCGAGATTAATGGGGAACAGATTGAGCGGGTGTCATCTTATAAATATTTAGGAACTGAAATAGACGATAAATTGTCTTTTAATTACAGAACAAGTGCAGGGAATTGCAACAGAGGATGTTTTTTCTCAGGAAACTAAAAGTTTTTAGATTAGATACCGGCATTCTTCAATTATTTTATAAAGCTCTTCTGCAGCGTGTCCTGTCCTTTGGGTTAATTTGTACCTTTGGAAATATGCATGCACAGGATCGTAAGAAATTGCAACATTTTATCAAATTAGCCAGTAGGGTCATTGGAGTTGACCAGGCATCTGCAGCCCAGCTGTACAATGAGCTTATTATGGAAAAGATGAAACAAATTTTAGATAATCCTACACATCCTCTGTTCTCAAAGTTTTTTAGAAGTAATAGGTCGAATGGCAGAATTCTGCAGAGAGTAATCAGAACAACAAGGTATCATAAGTCATTTGTGCCAACAGCAATTAGACTGCACAACAACAGATTAAGTATATCTGTTATACCTTAATTTTACCCTTTTGCGTGTCTAATTTTATTTATTCGCTTGCCTTTTCTGTATTTTTGTTATGTGTACAATGTGGTATGTTTACTGTTTGTTTGCATTGTGAGACGTTCAATGTTAACCATATGAATTTCCCCTGGGGGGATAATTAAGTTTACCTTGACCTTGAACTTGAAATTTCATCCGCCAAGTATCAGCCCAGTCGCTAATTAAATCCAGATTCCATTGTAGCCTCTCTCCTGCTAGATCAGTATCTGCTACACAACCCACCTTGGTGTCGTCTGCAAATTTAATCAGTTTACTGTATGTATTGGTGTCAATATCATTAATGTTAATTAGGAACAATAGTGGTCCTAAAATTGAACCCTGCAGTACCCCACTATGAATGCAGGCCCACTGTGACATTGTGCCTCTTATAACTACTCACTGCTTCCTGTCAGTTAACCAGTTTTTGATCCAAGCTGCTACAGTTCCTAAAATCCCTGCAGCTTTGAGCTTAAGCAAGAGCCGTTTGTGGAGGACAACATCAAAGGCCTTCTGGAAATCTAAGTAGATCACATCGTAGGCCTTTTTGTGATCAATTTCACTTGTAGCTTCCTCAAAGAACTCAAGTAGATTCGTTAAACAGGATCTACCTTTCCTAAATCCATGTTGGCTATCCCTCAGAATGTTATTTGCATCCAGGTAATCTACCATTTTCACTTGGATTATAGCTTCCATTATTTTTCCAGTAATGCTAGTTAAACTGATTGGCCTATAGTTTGCTGGATTACTTCTATCCCCTTTTTTGAATATGGGTGTTATATTAGCATGCTTCCAATCAGAAGGTACCACACCCGCAGATAATGATTTCTGGAATACTAAAGTTAAAGGTTGGCTAATAATATCCCTCATCTCTTTTAAAACTATAGGTAAGATGCCATCAGGGCCCTGCGATTTATTTATTTTGAGTTTAGCTAGGCTTAGTACCACATCAGCCTCAGTTATACATACAGTATATTGGTCATAGACGACGCTGAATTCGTACTAATTGGTGGCAAGTTACTTGTGTTCTCTATTGTGAACACCCGTGAAAAATAATCATTAAAGTCATTTACTATATCGATTTCATTTTCAGTTATAAGGCCCTTACTATCCTGCAAATTAGTGATTTCAGCTTTTAGAGCTCTTTTGGAGTTAAAATATTGGAAGAAACTTTTATTGTCATCCTTAGCCTCCAATGCAACTTTTCTTTCTACATCCCTCTTGGACAGTCTAATGTTATTTTTAACTATACCTGTAGACTTAGATACTCCTGCTTAATTTTTAAATCATTAGTTATTTTCCAATTGTGGAATAGGGCCCTTTTCCTCCTGACTTTATTCTTAATTTACTTAGTAAACCACCTTGGTTGTCGTTTCCTAGATTTAGTTTTGCTGGAAACAGGTATAAAGTCCTCATGCACTTGAAACAATGTGCTTATAAAAAAGTCTGGTTAGGGTTAGGGCTTCCTCTGCTGCCCCCTGGAGGATGGGCTCCCCCTTTGGGTCTGGTTAGGGTTAGGGCTTCCTCTGCTGCCCCCTGGAGGATGGGCTCCCCCTTTGGGTCTGGTTAGGGTTAGGGCTTCCTCTGCTGCCCCCTGGAGGATGGGCTCCCCCTTTGGGTCTGGTTAGGGTTAGGGCTTCCTCTGCTGCCCCCTGGAGGATGGGCTCCCCCTTTGAGTCTGGTTAGGGTTAGGGCTTCCTCTGCTGTCCCCTAGAGGATGGGCTTTCCCTAGAAGATGGGTTCCCCCTCTGAGTATGGTTCCTCCCAAGGTTTCTTCCTTCTAGGGAGCAATTGTGCATGAATGATGATAATGATGCTTCATTCATCCCCATGGGGAAATTGTCTTTTCGCCCCTCCCATCTTGCTCTCCAAGAGACACACGACAGGTGAGAGGAAGTTTGGGGGTCACAGCACAGGGTCGGCCAGCATCCAACCCCCCCGCAGCTCAAGGACCCAGCGATGACAACATTCTGTCACACCCACAGGGGCGGGGCAGCGCAGCAACAGGCAATCGCCTCCCAATTAAGGCCGCTATTTAAGTTAGACGTGATCACTTAAGGATCGCAAAGTATTGTTGCCTGATTCATGACACATACCAAGCATTTTCTTGTCCTCTGTCTCTCCCCCTTGCCTTGCCTGATCCGTCCTGCCCTGCTGTCTCGCCTGCCTCCTCGACCCTGCCTACCTACCTGCCTGCCTTCCTGCCCTGCCTGTCCTCTTCACCCTGCCTTCCCAGTCCCTTCTCATCGTGCTCCCTGTCCTTTTGTCTCATCGTCCCTTCTCTCACCGTAGGATTGATCTTCCCGGCTTCTGACCTTCTACGACCGACCCGACCTACCTCTTGGACTATCCCTTTTGGCTTTGGCATCTTCTCATTAAAGTGTTCTCTTGCATATTGGGGTCCGCCTCTTCCCTGACAGTGAAGCATGACACACTCTGCCGGCCAGGTGATCTGAACCAGCGGCCTTCTGCTCACGGACACAGAGTCCGAACCCAAAGAGTCACTCACCACACACAGTATTTACAGAAATGCTTCTTACAGCATCCATAACTGAAAAGAATATGAGTGGTTTTCCCACTATTAATGAAAACAGGAACATTCCGTATGATGCTGTATCTTTGGTTATTGTTACACAAAAGATGGTCATGGAAATCTTGTCTTTTTGTTTTTACTACATGACTACCTTCAGTTAATATAAAATCTAGATTCCTAAAAATCCTAGTTATTGATACAAGAGGGTAAATAAATGACATATGTACATCATCATTTTATTTGGTAAATAATGTTTATCTATTACTGCCAGACTAGATATGTCGTAACATCCTCAGCCAGGAGCAGCTGTGGCCAGCAGAGGCCGCCAGTGAGCAGCCAGAGACAGCAGTCATACAGAAGGTCCCAGCTCTGGGCTCCATCACATGCTGACAATAACACTCACATACCACTTATACACCCTGTGGATAAAAAGCCCTCACTGTTTCTATAGCAGGTTAGGATGCTGTGCCTGTGATCAGAAGGCAGACTGGATGGGAACGGAAATGTCACTTTTTTTTTGTTACTACATCACTACCTTCAGTCATTATAAAGTCTATGGTCCGGATTATGGAAAAAAAAACCCAAGTTATTAATCCATGAGGAGAAATAAATTATATGTACATTATATATTTCAAACAATATTCATGTATTACTACCAGACTTGAGATGATTTCCCATCCCCACGTCACTTACAGAGCTGTCTTGGAGTTCCTGACCACAGGCAGCAGCCTGCAGTGCTCATTATCTGATCTGAAGAATTTCTTCAGATCAAACACATCCAGCTCCTCATCTGACATCAGTAACACAAAGGCCAGAGCTGAGAACTGTGCAGGTGAAAGATCTTCTGCTGAAAGGCTTCCTGAATTCAGGTATCTTTGTACTTCCTCTGTTAGAGAATTGTCACCCAGTTCATTCAGACAGTGGAAGAGGTTGATGGTCCTTTCTGCAGATAAATTCTCCTGTATTTTTTCCTTGATATATTGAGCTGTTTTCTTACTATTATGAGAACTGGTTCTTGTCTGGCCCAGTAACCTTTTTAATAGACCCTTACTGGAGTTTGTTGAGAGGCCCAGGAGGAAGCGGAGGTAGAGGTCCAAGTGTCCATTCTTGCTCTTTAATGCCTGATCAACTCCAGTCATCAGCAGGTCAGCTGATGAGTTTGATAGAAACATGTATAAAGCAGCGAGATACTCTTGGATGCTCAGATGCACAAAGCAGTACACCTTATCCTGATACAACCCATATTCCTCTTTAAAGACTTCTGTGCACACTCCAGAGTAAACTGAAGCCTCTGTGACATCAATGTCATTCTCTGTCAGATCTTGCTCATAAAATATGAGGTTGCCTTTCTCAAGGTTATGAAAAGCCAGTTTAGCAAGTTTTAAAAGCAATTCCTTGCCGGATTCAAAGTATTTATTAGGTTTGGTTTTATACTCTCTCATATACTTCTCACTGTTAAATCTTGTCTGAAAGATCAGGAAGTGTGTGTACATTTCAGTCAGAGTCTTTGGAATTTTTCCCCTTTCATTCTCAGTAAAAAGCCTCTTAAGAACAGTGGCTGAAATCCAGCAGAACACAGGTATGTGGCACATGATGAAGAGGCTCCTTGATGATTTCACATGTGTGATAATCCTGCTGGCCAGTCTCTGATCACTAAATCTCTTCCTGAAATATTCCTCCTTCTGGGCATCACTGAACCCTCGTATCTCTGTCACCTGGTGGATCCACTCAGCAGGTATGTGATTGGTTGCTGCAGGCCGGGAGGTTATCCAGAGGAGAGCTGATGGAAGCAGATTCCCCTTAATGAGGTTAGTCAACAGCACATCCAGTGATGTTTTCTTTGTTACATCAAACCAGCTCTCATTGTTCTGAAAATCTAGAGGAAGGCGACACTCATCCAGACCATCAAAGATGAACAAGACTTTGTACCTAAACAGCTCAGCGGATTCAAATGATTTCAGATCAGGGGCAAAGTGGTGAACCAGTTCAATCAGACTGTATTCACCCTTAATCAAATTCAGGTCACGGAAAGGCAGAGCAAATATGAAGTGAATGTCCTGATTTGATTTTTCTTCTGCCCAGTCTAGAATAAATTTCTGCACAGAGACTGTTTTCCCGATACCTGCCACCCCTTTAGTGAGTACAGTTCTGATAGGTGTCTTACGCCCACATAAGGGTTTAAATATATCATTGCACTTGACTGTAGTATCTTCTGTTCGCCTTTTCTTGGATGCTGTTTCAATCTGTCTCACTTCATGTTCATCATTGACTCCTCCAGTCCCACCTTCAGTTATGTAGAGTTCTGTGTAAATCTCACTGAGAAGTGTTGGCTGTCCTTCCTTAGCTTTCCCTTCAAATACACACTCACATTTCTGCTTCAGGGTACATTTGATTGTGCTGGACATGAGCTTCCCTGAAGAAAAATGAGAGGAAAATGCACTAATTCTCAACATGATCCTGATCAGTGTAGTAAGAGGATTACAGTAAAACACAAAACATTAACCCCAACATGACAACTTTAACTCCAACCCAGTCCTAACCTTGACCATAAGTTACCAAACAAAATGTTTAGTTTTTTTATTGCATTCACAGATGTTTCTGGGGACCTGAGAAATGGTCCCCGCACCATAAAATAACAGGACATTTTTGTTGGGATACCTAATCCCCCCCCCCCCACACACACACACACCCACACATACAGACAAACACTTCTTACTATTTCATTGTGTTAAAATTAAACTTTAAATTTCATATCCTACATATTTTTACTGAAGCCCCAGATATCTGTACAGCAGTTCTGGTCCTAGCTGATATGGTGACCTAGGAGAGCATCAGCACTGGCGCCCCCTGCCTGAGGCAAAGTGAAGGTGGTGCCCTAGGTGGCCGCCTATGTCCCCTATAGGACTGACCGGCCCTGGCTGGGGCGGCATTAAACCCAGCCAATAACAGCACCTACACCAGATTATAACTTTATAAACACAAAGTAAACAGCAAGAGACATTACAGCTGGCTGGCATTCATGCACAAAACCTCATTCAATGAGCATGTCGCTCACATGATAATGCTGTTTGCTATGCATATAAGACTAATCAGTAATAAAAATGCAAAGGTTTTAAACTTTTAGTTAAAAAGGGGGATGGGAACAGAAAAGCATTTTATTTGCCTATTACAGTTTACTCTCCTGAGACAGACACAGTGGAGGGTTCATGCAGGTTCAGCAGGACACTTTAAAGATAAAGTGTATTTCTGAAAATGATGTTGTAGGTTAATAATAGATACTTTATTGATCCCTGTGGAGAAATTGTTTTTATGCCTCCCTCAACTTGCTCTTTATAGAGTAAGCTGTCCGCAAAGGGCAGCCACCTGTAGCAGTGCCCAGGGAGCTGGGGGTTAATGGCTTTGCTCAAGGACCCACAGACGTGCTGAGGCTGGGTTTGAACCGGCGACCTTGTGATTACAAGCACATGGCTTAGCCCACTGAGCCACACGCTGCCCCGATCCCAAACACCTGAAAAGTATTTCCGACTAATAATGTTAATTCTAGCTATATATTAAATTGGCAAATGCCGAATTATCTAAGGTAAGCTAGTAACACTCTGTTCCACATACCACAGACAGTAACATGGTAATTACTCTGATTAGTGATTATTACCTCTGTCTTTTTGCCATTTTTCCTCCTCTTCTCTTCCTCCTTTTCCTCCCTGGGCACTGGAGAAATTTGGTCTTTCTGACACGATAGTGTCTGTTTGAATTAGATACCATAAATCGTATCACACACCTATCAATCGTATCAATGTCACTTAAAGACGCCTACAGTGTGTGATACGAAGGGGAGGGGGGCGCCGGGCAAAGCAAAAAATATCCCTTATTTAATAAGGTTTGCTTATTTAAAGAACATATGAAATTTACAAACAAGAGGGGGCCATTCGGCCCATTAAGCTCGTTTGGGGAGAACTTAACTAATAGCTCAGAGTTGTTAAAATCTTATCAAGCTCTGATTTAAAGGAATCCAGGGTTTTAGCTTCCGCTACACTAGCTTAATAAGCTTTTTATTATTTTGAGATAATAGTGTAAAACAGTAGTAAATCAATATAGTAAAAGTCAAAATCTTAATTTTCCCCCTTCCCTTTCTACCCCTTTGCAAAGGATGGTGCCCCTGGCATTTTCCTGTACTGCCTATGCCATGGGCTGCCCTGAAATACAGGGTTCCTGTATTTTATATAGCGCCTTTCACTACCGAGTCCAAGGTGCTTTACATGGGCATGTTGGGATACATTCCTGCATTATTTATACAGAATAATTAAAAAACACAGAAAAGAGAAGATAAAGAAATAAAAGAAAGTCAGATGACAACTGCCCCCCCCATACTAACAGTACAGAAAAAGCTCTTACTCTGTTCCAATATGTCACCCAGCTCACTTCCTGCTTGGGGACCTGAAATAAGGAAGAATTTCAAATTCATTTCTGTCTTCAGCATCAGTATCTAACAAACATCAGCATTACCCATGTAATGCTATACAATATGTAAATTTTTCAAGAGATTAAAAAGGTTACAATTTAGACAAAAAACAAGAAAGGTTAAAAATATGATTACACTTCTGCAGGTCTTCATTCAGTCTCTCAGCAAGGTCATTCAGGGTCATATTCTTCAGGATTTTAAGCATGACATTGAGAGCATCAGCTTCACTGTAGCAACTTATCATCATGTCGGCGAGGTCTGTTCTATCCAAGTCCTTCACCTGACCCTTGGGAAGGGGCTTTAACTCTTTATACACAGGGAGACTCAGTCTCAATTTAAACTCCTTCAGCTGTTCATCACTGAGCTCCTTTAGATAATCCAGCAAAAGGACAGTGAGCGAGGTCTGGGTCTGCAGAATGTCGGAGATGAGTCCATGAGATCTCACAGACCTGTACATGGTCACTCCCACACATGCACTGACCTTTCTGTTAACAGAAGGCAGGTTTCCTGCTTACAGTCTTATATCTCTGCAGGAGACACCAGCTGTGATTTTTTTCATTACTATAAGAAGCACATATGTGTTTATTTTCTGCATTATTATTAGACCTTTATTTAACCAGATTAGTCCACTGATGTTTAAAATCTTTTTTAAAAGAGAGACCCATCCAGTTTAAATAGCAATAAAAAATAGCTTAAGTCCCAAGCACATTGAAACAATAAGGTCAAAAACAAAATACACTAAAAGCATAATGTTAATAATTTATATTAAGTTATGCTGTTCTGTTACAATATATTACAATAACATTTCGTGTAGCACAATATAGTAAGGAAGTAGCCTGAGGAAGAGCACTGCAGAGAGTGAGCTTTTTGTCTGCTAAGTTATTCTGTTCTGTTACAGTACATCTGTAACATTTGGTGCAGTGTGGTATGGTAAGGAAGTAGCCTGAGGAAGAGCACTGCGAAGAGTGAGCTTTTTGTCTCCTATATTCAGCAAGCTTCAGCCGAAAATAGTTGTTCATGTTATGAACTTAAGCTTTCCTGTCTTTCCGTGTCTGGTATTTACGGCCTTAACAACATGCATCATGTGCTGAAACGTTACATCCAAACCTCCTCATTGCAAGAGTGAGCCATCGCTTAGACAATTAGGGTTGTAAAGAACCAGTTCCCATATATTGCAGTCCGACTCTGTAATCAAAAGCAGAAGTAATGTTAGCTTTATATTTAAAATTCAGTTTACAAGTTACCAGTCAGTTTTTAAACCACAAGTAGAGATGTGCACTGATCATTTGGACTAACAACTGTGGGCCATATTATACTGTGTGCTTCAGTTAAAAAAAAAGCATGTAGCCATTGAATTGAGGACTTTAAAGCACTTTTCCATCTACATGCTCTGGAGGGCTGCATTTGTCACAGACCAGAGCCCAGTGGCCCATAGCTGTTCTCAGTTTGGAATGACCTCCTTCTTTGAACTGTTTGCACCTGTTGGGTTCATTACTCACCATATTAGGTGCTTTCACACCGAAGTTCTGGAACCTGGTCCTTGTTTACAGGTTCTTGGGCTGTCTGGACCGGGGACTTTTGTAGATCCTGGCCACTTCTGTCTGTCACTGTCACACCGCACAACAGGAACTGAGACTCAGCAGAGCTGTCACTCAGTCATGGAAGTTATTGTTCATAAGTCAGCACTTTAGTTTTTCCGGTGGAGCAGTTTAACATGTAATTTACTGAATGGGTTAAATGCTGTTATATTTCTTAAATGTATTATGAAATGTTTAAAAACTCATTTTAATAACTGCTTCTTTTAAGGTCCTTGTCCAAGTCTTATACTTCCAAACAGAATAAATTCTAATCACTTTCACAGGTAAAACTCAGCAGAACAGTTACTCCACTTCTTGTGAGTTTTATTCATCTAAGCCAATTAAGCATTACGTACAAAACACGAACCATCTGTAAGCATTGTAGAAAAATCCATTTGCAGCACCATGATATCTCTTTACTTAAATCCACTGCACCGGTGAAGAAAAATTAAAAAAAAATGTTTTATGTTTGTAATTTATATTGTTTTATTTCTATTCTATTTTATGTTCAATTGAGTAGTCAAGTATGAGAGAAGCCTGTCATTTGAGTTTGTGGTGAAATATTTTTTGGTGCTAGATATTTGTTCTGTTCTTTACTGCATATGATTATCGTGATTAAAACATTTAACCATACATCTGCATTATTTAGCATTTTTTGTCTTTGAAATTAATCAAATAAAAAGCTGCTTTGCAATAATATATTTCCTTTTTGAAGTTTTCTTAAAATATTGTTAAAATATCGTCTCGTCTCGTCTGCTGAACCTAGTATCGTGTCTCGTCTGGTCTCGTGGGCTGAGTGCATCGTTACACCCCTAGTTAGTGCTGTTTTATAATCGACACTCAGTGTCCGCCAGCAGGGGGCTCGTTTCTCAACTATGCAAGTTGCAACTGTGCTTTTGGAACAAGCACCCCGGAGCAGGTGTTTAGACTAAACCACTTTAACAGAGGGTGTGGG